CTCACTACCCTCTCTAACGAGTCTCGAGTGACAGTTAGAAGGTCTCACCTACGCCATCATTCTCCTACGCACTTTCTATAATAATGACATTGATTTGTCATTATTGCAATTTTGATGGAAAGAGACGATGAAGGTGACAGCATGCACACCTTAATGCCTATTCACTTTCGCCTTCAACAGGCCTAAGATACAGCGTTCAAATAATAAATTTTCAGGCAGCGCATTCGCCATAAATATTAATGTGGAAGCGTAACACTTTGTGCGAATCTTGCGTATATCCACAACATAGATTCACGGCAGATTAGTAGAATAAAGCAATTTCCGCGTTTATAGATCTGAAAACATTGTTGTCCCATTTAAACTAATAGAGAGGAAAAAGGATGACAATAATTTCGAAATTCGTTAAATTAGTTAATCCTAGTTTTACTTTCTAGTAGTTAAGCTCTTATTGTCTTTTTTACCTTACCTGTATATTATCTTAATTAAATAAAAAAATATTCAGTTATATCTTTAAAAATATTGATATTAAATATATATATATCAATATTTTAATATACTCGTATATATATATATATATATATACATATATAATACATTAAAATTAATTTATATAAATTTGAATTGATATTTAATTATTTTTTGTGAAATATTCCACTAGTTTGTTATAATTATAATACATTACATTGTATTAATAATTAAAAGAAATGTACTCTACATTAAGAGACTTCCAGATCAATTCTGTACGTAATTGCATTGCATTGATACGCAAGATTGTCAACAAATACACCACACGGCTCAATTCTCACTTGTTGCACCATACAATTTTTACCAAGAACCCAGTGACAGATGATCTTTGTACATCAGCAGACTTATTAACACTAGGTCATTCCTACGATTTGTACTTCACGACTACTGAAAGATGGCCTTCGTTGACGCATCAATTTGAAAACCAATATTAATTTACCCTTTGGTACGTTATTGTTGTCTGGCAAGAGAGGTCTACGTAGAGTGAGGTTAACGGTTAATGGTCATTTCATTATATTAAAATACACGAGTAACTATAGGGTTGGCACATGTACATATACACATTATAAGTATATAGGATATATATACTATTGTAATTTTCAAGTTTTTATTGATATTCAATTATTTTTTGCGAAATTGTTCCACTAGTTTGTTATAAATTAATAACAAAGATCGAACACTTCCTTCGATCCGGCCGGATTCGAATTGACGTCTGTAGCAAACCGTGCTAGACGTTATGTCAACTAAGCCACGATACGAACCAGCGGACTTTACGAATTTTTCTATGTGCCTGTTTTTGAAAATTGTTTAAAGATATTTTAGTTAAGCATCAATATATCCGATACGTTAACTAACTTTAACTGTTTGAAAAAAGCGAATTCTGAGCTCTATCTCATACTGTTTAAAACGGACATTTATCCACATGTCATGTTTTGTTATTGGACGGCAGTATTATGGAAAGCTACGACGGTTTGATTTTATATTGAAATTTCAAAGAATATGCTGCCATCTAGCTGTTAATGCTGAACGACGACGAATTTGACATGTACTTAGTTTTCCAAAAAAGGAGCGACTATATTGCAGCAGTATAAAATTTACTTTCGTTTCTTGTAACAAAAAAATATTACGATTAAAAGAAAATTGAAAATTTATTAATAAATAAAAAAGGACTTATTGATTATAAGAACACCACCATAGATAATATTACAAATGCGACTATTATTTTTACACTTCAAATAAGCGAAATAAGGCATTTTTGTACGATTTTCCAGGTTTTGTGCGAGATAATCGACACGCCCATTTTAACGTACAAAACAAAATTCCGGACTGAGCTCAAGTTTGCGGAACTCCGCGAACTGTTGGCATACGTGACACACAAACTAAACACTTCTACTGTATTTTTTAATCCGTGGTGGTAACACAGACGTGTCCGTAGCGGTGCGTGCATCTAAAAATGGGCGGGGCTGATACGCTGCGATGGGTTGTCATTTTGTACTCTTTTTAATTATTAATATGAAAAGGGCGAGCTAGTGTGTGACTATCCGTGGTTTTTTTATGAGTGAGCAGTTGCAGTGTTGCTCGGAACTTTAAATCAAAATTCTGAGAGGCACATCACCATAAGACATAAGTCGACAAGTCCTTATGCCTGTAACTTAACCAGCACCCCTTATCTTTCAAAAATGCTCACATTATTGCTTGGCGGCATAAATAGGAATGGTGGCAGTACTTCCCTGGACGAACTCTTACACAAGGAGCTCTACTGCTATTAACTGCTGTCGTCGGCTGAGCGAGAAATCTGAAAAATTACAGACCATGCGAGGCTGCCTTGAGAAATAAGCCTGAGCCTAGCTCAGCAAGAATTAGAATGCAATTTGATTGTTATTTGTTTCGTTGTTCATATAATAAATAAAGAAATAAATACATTTACTGTTCAATACATTGGTACCTACACTTAGTACATTCCTATAAATTCAATTCTACTTTCCATTATTTCGCCATGTATAAAATAGAATGTAAATCACAGTGAAGACAATCAAATTGTGGCTTAAGAGTGAAACTTACAATGAAACAGAGTTGTGTCAAAATTATTTTTATATAGGTAAACATTTATTTTCGTACCTGAGAAGCTATTTTTTGTAATTTTACAGGGGACGCGATTTTGTGTGAATTGTGTCGCAGCATGTACAACATTTAGAATGGCTGGAAATAAAACTAATTGAGTTTTAATAACATTTCGAACTACCCTAAATGTCGTATAAAACTGCTTTTCAAATTACAAAAATGGCGCTCACAGTGTAATGCTTCTCAGATACGCATTTATAAGTACTATTTATTTTTATTTTAAATATAGAAAATCTTTTTTTAAGCTGTGATAGAGACAAATTTGCCCAAAAAGATGCCTAAAATATACTATAAATTTACTTAGTTTAGGCATCGTAATTATACATTAGGTTCTAATATTAAAATGTATAAGCTTGACTATGAAGATTGTATAATTTAGGTTCTCTTCTTAATACTATAATAGCTTTATTTACATTTGTTATATTTGTATTGTATTAGATTAAGTTATATTGAACTAAATTTGTCTTCATCTTAATAAATAAAATTAGTACATTAGGTACATACTGTAGCGATTGCATATCAAAATATTAATATTTTCCTACACCTTAGTTGAAAGAATATGCATTGAAATAAATTCGCCAAGAAGATACATTATTTAAACTTTATTGTTATTATTACTTACTGTTATAAAAAACGTTGCAATTAGTAATTACAATTTTTAGGTGTGGCCCTACCTAGAACCTTTAAGTAGGCATAGATACAAAACAAACGATACAGTATTTACCATTCCTGATTGATATTAATTACAAGAGCAAAAGTATTGATTCACTCGTGATCAATATTTCATCAGTTGAGTTGCCATCAGTAGTTTGAGTGGGTTGTCTGCTTACTAGCGAAGCTTTAAAAACAAAAACAAAAACGTAACGAAGGGCCTCTGGAAATATTTGCGCCGCCCTTTGGCTGCCCTTTGGCCGCACTTACCTTACTTACATTTGTCATATTTACATTACCTACCTATATTTGTAACGGCATACCTACTTACATTTGTTACATTAGTCAGATTTATATTACACATGTTTGTTACGGTGTAATTTGAGTCTTTATTAACTCATCTAAAAAAATCTTTTATTCATTTTTTTTATAATATCAAGTGACGGGACGAACAAGTCGTGCGCCTCAGGGTAAGCTACGCGCCTGTCCATAACAGTTGCAGTATCCTCAGAGCTTTAAGATCTGAGGGGCACTGCCACTGCGCCCGATACCCTGAGACATAAGCTGACAAGACCCATGTGCCTGTAATTTCACCAGCACCCTTACGCTTCAAAACCGGAACGCAGTAATGTGAGCATTACTGCTTGGCGGCAGAAATAGGTAAGGTGGCAAGTACTTCGCTGGACGAACTCTTTCACAAGGAGCTCCACTGCTGCTAAAATGATATAGCTAACATAATGATGGTGTAAGTAGGTATTACCATTATTTCGTTTTAGGTTAAGTAACAAAAAGCAACTATAGTGAAAAAATAGGGTGGTTTGCATTAATATTAGACACAACTGGTTGAAGACTGTACCACCTCAGTCAACCGTGACCATGGGATCTGTAAAGGGCCCGAAACGTCGGTTTGTTTGAAAAAACAAATATACGCGATTTAAATCCGGAAAAATAGTTTCATTTCCTAACAAAAAGCACTTAAAAGCTCTCATGCCAAAAAAGTTTTGACGTTGGCTCCGCCCAAATTTGTGAAACAAATATATGCCTGAAGTTCGCGTGACATGCGACAAGAGATGTTGAATTTTGCGCATTAAAAGTACCAAATTCGTTTTAGCGGAATAACTCTAAAACTAAAGGGATAAAAAAACATCCGTAGTGACAGTTGTCGATCATGCATAAATCTAATTTTTGTCCTAATAACCTGTAGCATTTCGAGCAAAAATCGAAAAAAATGTGAAAATTAGAGATCATTTTTATCTATCGAGGAAACTTTATTGTTTTATGTTTCTGATTAATATCTATGCTTGAATATGTCGTGTAGTTACTCATACAATGTTTTATTTTTAACTTTAAAGTGGATATACCCCTCTAAAATCAAATCGAAGATTAGGAATTTTTCCTCTGCTCCCTCTTAAGTCAATTGATAAATGGTAACTCCATCAGTTAGTAGAGCAATTGCTCGTGATGGGCAAAAACAGACGCAACCCATGTCCGATCTTTGGATTAATAGTTATAACAAAATAAATGGAGTAATTAACACAAAAGTGAATAGTTGATACAATGTTCATATAATAATTATCTATAACAACTTTTTTATAAAAATCCTACTTCAAAAGTTTTACATCTATTTGCCTAGTTTTATTGAAACCGGATTCATCCCCTAGTTTGCCACTCTAAGGGTGTATTTATTCGATAAGAATTTCATTGCGCTCACCCCGCGCGGCCGCCGCGGTCGCCGAGCGGAGTCCGCGTTTGCTGCCGCGCAGTGACCGCGTGCGTCTAGTAAGTTCATTGCACTGTATAGATATATACATTTTTTTTCAAATTATATAACATTTCTTAATCCAAAATTTTTATCTTTCTCGTTTCATTAATTCTTGTCTTAGCAAAGCAGTGATAATCAAAACACCCTCGCGCACTGCACTCGTGGTAGAAACAGCTGGCACAGAAACTCGAAATACGATTTGATTTTTGCTTTCGAGTTCTGTTTACACGGAGACGTTCAATATTCAAAGGCGAGACCATTATCACTCACGTGGACGGTCGATCATCGCGAATGTTTATGACGAGGAAAGTTATTTATATTCTTTCGATAGTCGTATCTTCGAGACGATAAACTCTCTCCTTCTAAATGGGCCTTAACTGTCATGGCAAAATACGCTCTATTAATCTCGCTTTCACGCTTTAATTTAAATGAACGTCCCGGGCACGCGGGCGTACCCGGCTTGAATTTGGTCTAATTCAGTGAAATTTAAACATTGTTGCCTAGAAAATAGAAATCAGATTCACCATTAATGTACATGAAGGCGCGGTAACTAGCCGCATAGTGGTGGGATATTTTCATCAAATTTAAATAGGAACAAACCGAGCTAACCTCTTTCCAACAAAAAAAGAATCATTAACATATCAATCAATATACACACAAAAAAAAGATTTAAAAAATGTACTCGTAAAGGTCGAATTGAAAACCTGCTTCTATTAAAAATATGTTTCATTTCCAGTGGTCCTACCAGCATTCTCCTACGGTGCAGGAGTGGGCTGGATGTCCCCCATGTCCTCCCTACTCATGTCCGAGAATTCCCCCGCGAAGGCTCCCGTCCACGAAGAGGTGATATCCTGGATGGCATCAGCGCCTTACTTCCTCGGTACTCCAGCTGTCTTCCTCTTCGGTTTCATTGTCGACAATCTCGGAAGGAAGAAGGCGTTGTTGTTTACTTCTTTTTGTATGTCCGTGAGTTTGTTTTTATTAAATAGTTAACCTATAATTGTCCCATTAACTGCTCCGTGGTCAAATGGTTACCATGCTGGTCTGCCACGCAGACCGTTGGTAACCGTTCGATTCCCGGGCCGAAAGACATATTTGTACGGCTTACATTTATTTCTCTCTTGGTATTATGGTAACCGGTGGGCCGCAGAGGTAGTTAGAATTTGCATTGCTGTTCATAGACCTCTCACAATGAGAGGGTTTGGTTTTATTGAATTAAAATGAAAATTTGAAAACACACAAAAAACACTTCATATTTTTCATAGATATAGTTATAAATACAGCGTATGTATTAATGAAATAAAAAACAACAATTGAAATGAACTTGTGCTTAATAATTGGATAATTATGGGTCGAGGATTACTCAAATGAAATAAGTTCGGCTATTTATTCCATAAGCGTAACCAATATTCAATCGATGGTCGATAGAATATTTATCGACTGCAATCACTAGCTGCTCGCAAGTGGCCATCACTTTCGCGCAATGAACTGTCCTTGTACTCCGTCTTCAAAAAAGAGTTTGCCCCAAAATCATAGCGAATGTTTGCACCACGCAATAATATGCCCAATTAATTAGATACCGACCTTTTCCTTCCAGGTGTGCTGGGGCCTAAAACTGTTCTCAACAGAAACGTGGGCTTTAATAACTGCCCGAGCCATATTGGGTTTCGGTGTTGCTGGCTGCTACGTAGTAACACCGTTATACATCAAGGAAATAAGCGAAGATTCTATCAGGGGCACTCTTGGGACCTTAGTGGTTTTATCGCAGAATTTGGGTAACCTTTGCGTATATGTAATGGGAGAATATATGAGCTATTATGCGGTACTGTGGATATGTTTGTCTGTGCCCCTGGTGCATATGTTGGTGTTCTCTACGATGCCAGAAACGCCTTCTTATTTGCTGAAAA